TCACACAAGGCTATACGTTCTAATTTTCCTATTTTTAAGATTTTTTAACGCGGAGACAGGTTAAATTTGATGCGCTCCGGGCGGGGGGTGGCGCGCTACTGGTTAGGTTAGGCTAGGTTAGGCTAGGTTAGGTTAGGTTCCCGTCGTGCCCCCCCCCGATTGTGCTGCCACCTCGTCGTGGTGGGGGGGCTTGCGTGCCCTTATGATCCCCAAGGCTATGCCGGATAGCGCTACGCACACCGGATAGGCTTGTGGGGGAGGGGCCAGACTAAGAGCGGCACACTGCGGAGGGTCCACTCCTGGTACCACTCTGATCAGCAGAGCAGACTGGGATGTGGACGTGCGCCGTCAGAATGCGGCGCTGCAGAGGGGCTCATCAGAGCGTTTGCGCGGCGGGCTCCGGCGGCTGTTATGTCACGGCTGTCCGGACAGGCTTAAGCCACCGTCGGGCGACCTGTTATCCCGACAGAGTCAACCGACCGACTGGGACCAGGGGGCTTGCCTTAATTAGCCGGCCCGAGTGGAGTTAACCACAATAAAAAACGCCCAAAGGTGACGTCGTTGGGGCGCCCCTTTATGGGGCCTCGCGCGATGACGTCACGCCTGCTTCGGTGGGTTGGTAGGTGGGGCATATCACCTACCCATTAGCGGCCATCCCTGGGATACCTCCCGTCCTCCCAGGATGTATTAGGGTTACCCAGGTACAGGGGTCTCTGCCTGGGTGGACTGAATATTTCCCCCATACTCGTGGGAATCATATGGATTGCCTTAATAAAAATCGTTTTGAACCTGATGTGGTGTCCGAGAAGGACGATGTTAATGTTCTCGAGGGCCTCGACCCTCAACCGACGAACCAAAGCGCGAACAACGGACCTGATTCTGCTTCTGATGTGGAGACGGTACCTGTGAAGGGAAATGCTCGGCAACCGCGGGACAAGCAAGGTCGCTTCATTCGCCGTCCAAAGTCTCCTCGACCGGCGAGTGAGATAGCTCAGTTGGACGTGTGTAGCTCTGACGAGGAGGTTCTCCGGTCAGAGATCACGGAGTCCAGTAATAAAAGGACGGTCCCCTCCAAACGAGCTCGTGAGGGCGAGGATGAAGCGCCAGAGCCCAGTAGGGCTCCAAAAATCAATACAGCTCGGAGAGGCCGAGCTGTCGGTGTGGGCCACAGTAACACGGGGTCTCGTCCTCGCGTGCCCGAAGCGAATGAGCCTGGAGGGCCCTATAGACTCCCGTTCCCCATCCCACGCTCATTGAGTGCAGGGAATCTGGACGTCAGCGCGGGAGCTAGCGAAATGAAGCGCACGCCTGGCAAGGATGATCTCATTCTGGCAGCCCGAGCAGGAGTAGGAAAGATCTTGGAGGAGGCCGCCAAGAGCGGCAACCTCAAGGGGACCGTCTGGGGCCAAATAAAAAAGCCTCCAAGACGATCGTAGACGCCATGGACTCTCTGGAAGCCATGTCGGCGAGTGAGGAGACTCGTAGACTGAGGGCAGACAACAAACGGATGCAAGGGCAGTTGTCTGCCCTAAAAACAGAAGTGATTGCCCTCCGGAAAGCTTTCTCTGAAAGACCGTGGCAACCTCCACCGGGGAACCGCCCTGTCGAAACCCAAGAGGTTCCACAGGCAGTGCTGGACTTAATGGAAGACCAGCACAGGAGCCTCTTGGTGACTCTCGGTGAAATGGTGAATGTTCGCCTAGGCGAGATGGAGAAACGCCTCCCGCCTGCACCGGTTGTGAGGCCGCCGCTGGCTGCCGATAGGAGGCTGGTTGCGGACACTCCCTCAATGTCTGATCCGAGAGTAGAGCCGTCCCCCTCACAGTGCTCGAAGAAAAAGAAGAAGAAGCACTCACCAGCTGCAAAAGCTCCAGCGAAGCCTGCCTCCACCGCTACTACTGCTCAGCAGCTACAACACGGCGCCGCCGCCATGCAGTCCGCCGCAAGGACTGCACACGCCGCAGCACCTTCCTCAGTGACGGAATGGACGGAGGTCGTCCGGCGCAAGCCAAAAAAGAAGCCGTCGTCGCCTCCTGCGGCTCCAGCACCCCGTGTCAACCGTAAATCGAAGGCCAAGATTACCACTCCGAAATCAACGGCAGTGGTAATCACGCTGAAGCCCGAAGCCGTAAAAGAAAATGTGTCCTATAAAGACGCTTTAGGGAGGGCAACGGCAACCCTGGAGCTGGGCACGGTGGGCCTGGACTTCGTGCGGGTGCGCAGCACGGCCACCGGGGCGCGCATTATCGAAGTGCCTGGAGCCGACAGTGGTAAGACAGCGGATGCCCTGGCGGAAAAGCTAGAGGGCATAATAGGAGACGTGGCGACTATAACCAGGCCCGTCAAAACCGCCGATCTCCGAATCACCGGCCTGGACGAATCGGTCGATGCGGAGAGGGTCCAAAGGGCAGTGGCGACCAAGGGGGGATGCACCTTGGACCAGGTGAAAGTGGTCGGCAATATCCGCACCGGTCCTTACAAGACCGGATCCGTCCTGGTCCGATGCCCGGTAGCGACAGCCAAAGTACTGATCGCGGCGCGGAGATTGTTGGTCGGGTGGTCATCTGCCCAAGTGCGGGCGCTGGACCCTCTCCCCATGAGGTGCTTCCGGTGTTTGGGGACCGGGCACTCTAGGGCCCTGTGCCCATCCCCCATTGACAGAAGCAACCTGTGTTTCAGATGTGGGAAAGAGGGTCACAAGTCAGCGACCTGTAATGCTGAACCCCGGTGCGCGGTGTGCATCCACGCACGACGCCCGGCCGGACACGTGATGGGTGGACGTGCATGTGCCCCTCCGCCCACGAGAGGTAAAATGGCTTTTCAGGTCCGGGCCACTGAGCCAGCGGAGGGAGAAATGGAGACGTGATGCCCGCACACCACTTACTCCAGACCAATGCTAACCACTCCGCCCGAGCTCAGGATTTGCTCATGCAATCCATGACGGAGTGGAGCATAAATGCGGCGGTAGTGGCGGAGCCTTATTTCGTCCCCCCTCAACCTAATTGGGCTGGGGATACGGAGGGCGATGTTGCAATTGTGGTGTCTACTTCGGACGGTACTCCCCCTCTTGTACTAAAAGAGCGTGGACCGGGGTACGTGGCGACTGCGTGGGGAGATTTAGTCCTGATCGCGACTTATTTCTCGCCGAACCGTACCCTGGTTCAATTCGAGCGGTTTCTTGAAAGTCTGGAGCGGGTCGTAAGGAGGGCCGCCCCGGCGCAGGTCTTGCTCATGGGAGACCTAAATGCCAAGAGCAATGCGTGGGGCTCTCGTGTCACCGACGCGAAGGGGACCACATTAAGCGACTGGGTGGCGATGGTGGGCTTGGTCGTCCTGAACCGGGGTCACATCAGTACCTGCGTGCGGCGACAGGGAGAGTCGATTGTGGACGTATCGTTTGCGACCCCTACCATAGCTGCACGCGTGTTGGACTGGCGGGTCTTGGAGAATGTCGAGACCCTCTCCGACCACCGGTATATAAGGATGAGGGTCTCCACGTCGCCACCAACAGTAATCCCCGGAGCTGCCTGCCAGCCAAGGGAAGGAGATCGCTTCCTGCGATGGTCGCTATCCCGTCTGGACTGCGAGATGGCGGAAGAGGCAGCCATGGTGCAAGCCTGGTGTGCCCCCCCATCGGGCACTGTTGGGGTAGACGAGAAGGCCGCCCGGTTCCGCGTCACTTTGACAGCAGTGTGCGACGCGGCCATGCCCCGGGTCAAGCGCTTCCCCAACAGGAAACAGGTGTACTGGTGGACGGCGGAGATTGCGGCCCTCCGAGAAACCAGCAACTGTGCCCGCCGGGCATACGGCAGATGCAGACGCAGACGGTCCCATACGGCAGCGGAGGAAGATCAGCTGCATAGGGTCCTCCAGGAAGCTAAGGCGGCGCTTACGGCTGCGATCGCCAGGGCCAAGGATTCCGCGCATCTGGAGTTCCTGGCGACTCTGGACAGAGATCCATGGGGGCGGCCCTACCGCATCGTGCGGAACAAAATGCGCCAAGCCGCCCCAATGGAGTCCCTGGAGCCGGAGCTCCTAAATAGAGTGGTTGTCGGGCTGTTCCCTGAGCAACCTCCATACAACCCCCCGAGAATGACGGTTCCCGTAGTGGAGGCGGAGGAGTTCACAGAACGCCCCTCCGTCACAAATGACGAGATGGACTGGGTGATGGAACGCTTGCGCAGATGCAAAAAGGCCCCTGGGCCGGATGGTGTCCCCGGAAAAGTGCTCCCAATCGCCCTCAAACATCTCGGATGCCACCTGAGACAGTTGTTTGACGACTGTCTGGAGGCTGGGCGGTTTCCGAGATGTTGGAAGGAAGGCAGGCTATGCCTGCTGAGGAAGGAGGGACGGCCGCAGGATTCTCCCTCAGGGTATAGGCCTATTGTCCTTCTGGACGAAGTGGGAAAGATGCTGGAGCGCATAGTATCATCTCGTATCGTCCAGCATCTTTCCGGGAGGGGCCCGGATATTTCTGAGTCGCAGTATGGATTCAGGGCTGGCCGTTCTACGCTAGATGCCGTGGCTGCCCTGAGGAAGTTCTGCGATGACGCAAAAGAAACGGGGGAAGGGGTCGTGGCGGTGTCCTTGGACATCGCCAACGCCTTTGGAACGCTTCCCTATGGGGTGATAGAGGAGGCGCTTCGATACCATGAGGTGCCTCTCTATCTGCGTCGCTTGGTGGGGCACTATCTGACTGGTAGGGTAGTGCTCTGCCAGTCGAGGGACCAGCAGACGGTAACGCGCCAGATGTCATGCGGGGTTCCACAGGGATCCGTCCTCGGGCCCCTCCTGTGGAACCTCGGCTTCGACTGGGTGCTGAGGGGGACACTGCTCCCCCGGATGGCTGTCTTCGCGTATGCGGACGACACGATGGTAGCTGTCCGAGGGACCGGCTACCTGGAGACAGCACGTAGGGCCTCGGTTGCGGCGGATATGATTGTCCACCGCATCCAACTGTTGGGACTGGAGGTGGCTCTGTCCAAAACGGTGGTCACAGTTTTCGGGGGGCGAGGTGGTGGATGGAGAATCCCGGCCGACGCACAAATTATGATTGGGGAAGAGGCGGTCCGGGTCAGGGCCCAAGTCAAATACCTGGGCCTTGTCCTGGACCGCAAGTGGAACTTCGGGGAGCACTTTAAACAACTAGCTCCCCGAGTAGTGGGTGTTGCGTTGGCGCTAGGTCGCCTCCTGCCGAATGTGGGGGGACCCAATGCCCCGTGCAGGCGGTTGTACGCGGGAGTCGTCCGGAGCATGGTCTTGTACGGGGCGCCGATATGGCATGATGCGTTGTCGGCCTCCACCAGGGCCCTGCTCCGAAGACCGCAACGGGTGGTGGCCATAAGAATAGTGCGGGCCTACTGTACTGTGGCATTTGCGGCGGCGTGCGTACTCGCCGGCACCCCCCCGTGGGAGCTCGAGGCGGGGGTGCTGGCGGAAACACGCCGCGTAAGAACGGAGGCCAGGGCCAGAGGCGAGCGCCCTGCCCCTGAAGAAATCGAGCGGGCGCGTCGTATGGCGGCGCGAAGGATGCGTGACCGCTGGAAACAGAGCCTGGCGGACCCCTCATATGGTATCCGCACCATTGAGGCTATCCGCCCGGTTCTTGACCAGTGGGTAAGCAGGCGGCACGGCTTGATGTCGTACCGACTCGTGCAGGTACTGTCAGGGCACGGCTGCTTCGGGCACTACCTGCATAGAGTCGCAAGGAGGGAGGCGTCGACATCCTGTCACGAGTGCGGCGCTGCGGATGACACCGCGCAGCACACCCTAGAGGTGTGCAGTAGGTGGCATGAGCGGCGCCGCACTCTGGTAGCGGCGATTGGGGCGGATCTTTCGCTGCCCAGTGTAGTGACAGCCATGCTGGACAGCGAAAGTTCATGGGACGCAGTGGCCTCCTTTTGCGAGGACGTGATGTCGCAAAAGGAGGCCGCGGAGCGGGAACGCGAAGACGCTGTTGACGCGGATCCGCTCCGGCGCAGGCGGCGGGGAAGAAGGCGAGGGCAGTTCGCTGCTCGCCTAATTCCCTAGTGGGGCCAGCGGGCAGGGGTGGGGATCCCCTGCCAGCCTTGCACGGCCTCACTCGTCTGGGGGGATGGGTCATGCGGGCCGACCCTCCCCCACTTGGCGCGGGAATCCCGGTGAAAACCGGGGTGGCCGGGGGTGTCGTTGTGGTCGAATCCTCGGGATCCCACGGCACCCACAACACCTGGCCTTGCGGGCAACGCCGGTGGAGTTTTAGTGCGGTATGCCCCCCACTAAGGGGGGTGAGTCCCACATAACTTCCGAGCCTCCCCAGCTCGGTCGTATGCATAAAGCATTTCTCC